TTCTCAAAGAATGTCAAAAGATTTGTAAGGCAAGATTTTCCCTTAGTGAAATCTTGTTGACTGTACAAATAAAATTCTGAGTTTTGTTAAATGACTTTGCAAAGCATCTTTTATCAGACTTTTCCCACAGCTGATGTAAGACTAATAGGCCTATAATTACTGGGAGGTTATTATAACCTTTAAAAATTTACCTCTACCTGAAACGGGTATGTTTTTGGATATTTGTTAGATATAAAGCAAATTGACTGAAAATTTTAAAAAATTTATTGTCAATATAAAAGATTGTACATTGAAAATTTGGCTTAGATTCATTGTTTCCTTATAAACTTGATGCTGAGATCTTGAATGACATTAGAGTTGGATGATTAATAGAAATTGTTGATTGGGCTCATTAATCAACAACATTTAACAAATTGATTATTTTCACAAGATTAAGATAGTTAGAATAATCAAGAGTAGTAACAATTGTAAACACTAATCGATCAAGCTGAACTGCATTGAATAATAATGAGAAATCAATATGGCAATATTTTGATTATGATGTAATTGGAAGAATCAAAACAGTAAAATTTGGAAACACTAATTTTAGTTGGTTGATTATTTTTGTGACTTTATTTTTATTAGAATTTTGACTAATCAGTTATTTTATGTGACGCTACATCATAGCTAATCAATTATATTGAGTTTTACGTATAGCTGTAATCACAACATTGATTCTCATGGCATGATACCATCTCATGAGATTTACAGTTGGCTCAAATGTTAAGTTGTATACAAAAGCATGTATCTGTACATGATGGCATGGCAGAGTATTTTGAATTTTTTATTTTACAGGAGACAGCATTCACATTGAAAAGAAAGATGTAGTGAATGTAGTAAGTCAACTATAGTCCTATATTTCACTCTATGTTTTCCTCTTTGACAGGGAGTAAAAGAACGACAATAATTGTACCAATATTTGACTGCTTATTTCTCTTAATCAAAAACAAATATGAAGCTGTTGTTTTCAGTGTGGTATAAGAATGTATAAATCTGTTCAGAAACATAAGAATAGTGGCATTCCAGCATTTGTAAAAGCTGTAGCAGTTTCTCAGAATTGGCCAAAAGTTTGATTCTGTATATACAGAGTCATTAAAGTATTACATCATCCTTCTAACATGGCTGGAGTCACTACCTTGGCTCTAGATATGAATATGGCAGTATGATCTAAACCAGGGATGGGCAATAATTTTTGTGGGGTGGGGGCACTCCACAAAATTTGGCAAGTCCTTGCAGGTCACACAGTGCTATTGTATTAATTAAATTACCTCAACATCGATTGTATTAAAACCTCATTATGTTTTTTCCACAATTGCTGGGAATCATGATGGACAGGACAGAAGTATTAGATGGGCTGTATTTTGCACACTTCTGTTCTGAAATAATCAAAGCTACACCTGCTTCTTACTCTCTCTGTCAAAATCAACCACTTTTGTTTTTTTTTCAATGACAAACTCTATAACCAGGTAGATGATGGTATGATAGGTTCACCCTTAAGTCCTACATTTGTTAGTGCCTTTCTTTTTTGGAACCCTCATGGTTAACACACTGCTCTACTATCTTGAGACCTATTTTCTACAAAGATATGTGAATAATACTTTTATTTTTGCTTGAAAGAACACATTTCAAAACGTTTAATGTATCTAATCTCATGACATCAGAATATGCAATTTTCCCATGAAGTAGAAAATAACATAACTCTCCCCTTTTCTAGATGTCCTTGTAATAAGAATCCCTAATGGTTTCTATACTTATGTTTATCATGTCCTTGAACTGGTCTTTTCACAGCTTTTGACAGTTTCATTCCCTTCCATTATAAACAAAATTTTATTTTTTGTGTCCTTGGTAGAGCCTACCCAATTTTCTCAAATTACTAGACTCTACACAGAAATACATTATACAACATCTTAAAATAAAGTAGATACACTGAAACCTTGGTAATAAAACTTGCATGTAACTTCTTAAACACCAAGTTCAATCTATAAGTCAAACCACCCAAAGTTACCACTATTCCTTGCCTTGTAAAACAGCCTACAATTCAACATGTTAATACAAAGGTACTACACTCTGCTTAGATTCAGAGAAAGTTTTAAACCCACTTCCACATTAAAAGAATTACTTGCATACAAATATATATATATACTACCACCACCCATGGTTCATATGCATGTATATTGTGACTGTATAGCCAACTGTATTTGCAAGACTAAATAGCATCATGCCATGCATTCCCATTCCTAACAAGAAATAAAACACTGGCCACCTTATTACTTTGTAGGACTTAAAAATTCTAATAAAAAAATGTTCATGGAAATCTGACATATAAATATTGATCAGTGCAACATTGTAGATCAGCAAATAATGACTTACTCTCAGTTCTCTTTATTTATTCATTCCTGACTCTTTCATTACTTCCTTTCTTTTATGTTCTGTTGTACTTGCATTTAATATTAAATTTCATTTTTCAACTTTAATTTGTTATATTAAATTTAAGTCTTAATTGTTTACATCTGATACTGCCAAAGATGATTTATATATAATCAGAAATGTCCAAAATATTTATTTTCACTTTAATCTTGATTTTCGTGTTCATCAGTTAATTATCAGGTGCATTATACTGTCAACATTTTGCCACTTCATTTTTCTTATTTACATATTATTTGTATTTCTCTTCATAAAAACATAACTTGTTGCACATCCGATGTGGCTGCTGGGGAGTCATATAGTACTTCTACATATGGCTCTCTTTGGATTTAAGTAAGCTCGTTGTTGAGTCTCTTAATAATACTTCTAGTGGAAATATTTGGTGTGTAGTAGTGATTATTTGTCTTGAAATTACTGTTTGATAAGATAAAAAGTCGTGTTTTTTAATAATTTTTTTCTGAATTACATGTATGTTAAAAATATATTTTCTATTGAAAAACATGAATAAAGTTAGACTTCTTTGGCAATGTAAGGTTTGCACAGTGTGTCTTTTTATTTCTTCTTAATGATGCAGCACTGAATTTTCTACTGCTAGCATACTATCAGTTGGAAAACTAAAGCTATGCAAACCTTTACTGAAAGTGTGAATTATAATGCTATGGAAAATGCACTTATTATTTCATACATACAACTTCATTTTATATCCATCAAAGTGCTTCATTTCCACATAAATTGCTTGTAAATAGAACTGTTTTATAGAATGAGCATAGTTGATTCTTTTGTGATTTATTAGTGATCCACTAAAGAAAGTGTATGCATTTTCCAATGTACTGGAAACTCAGTAGCTTCTTTCATTGCTTTACAGATGTGGCAAAGCACCAGGTTAAGTTTATGTGCATAATAATTAAAAAACCTCATCCAGCTATCTTTTCACTTTCTCCCAGAATGAAGTTATTCATTGCTTTTTAGAACAAATAACATTCAGTGAATTGAAGATACCAGGAATGTACGAGATAATGACAGATGAAGCAAATAACAAACAAAAAGAGCAGATAGTATAGGCTGTGTAAGATATGCCGTACAAGAAACTGGTTCAATGAAAGGACATTTTCTGGGATTCAGTGACTAGAACTGTTCTATGGGATGAATACCCTAATTGTGAAGTTGCAGAAACAGTGCATGATTTGTAAACTAGACATGTGTATTTGAAATAAGGAACTACAAATCTGGGCTGTTTAACATAGGATTAGTTTATGTTATCATTTGTATCCATATTCTAGGAATGTAGGGCATTTACAAGTTATTACAGTACAAAGTGTAAAAGAAGACCGTAAGATTAGTATGGTACATGGCACTTTCAAGTTGGTCAATGGAATTTGATAATCAATTAATTATCAGGCTCATTAATCAGTTACGTTAAGTTTGTCTGTTATTCTCACTTGAGGTTTGAATGGTTGGAATAATCAAAAATAATAAAACCAGAAACACTAATTTTGATAAGTTGATTATTTTTATAAACAATTTAATCATAATTTTGATTAATCAACTATTTTACGTGACATTGATGCTCATAGGTAATTGATTATATCACTTTAATCACCCAACTCTACCTACAAGACAGATATAAGCTTTTGAACGTCTGTCATATTATGACAGCTGTTACTGAGTTTGTTACTTTTGCAACACCTTTTTTTTTTTTTTTCTATCACTCATTATATGAGACCTCCTGAAAAATGCTACATAAATAAAACAGAATAACTTTTAGAAACATTTAATGTCAGTGTCATTGCTTTGTGGTATGTTTCTCTTTACAGGTCAGAGCACTGAGCTTACATGTACTTTTTTTTTCTTTTAACCAAGCATGAGTCATCCAACTTTGAGTGGTAGCAAGTTGAAGACACATTTCACAACAACTGGTATGACACCTTTTTATTGTACTGCTAATGTTTATCTACTGCACTTCTTGCTTTGTAATATTGCTAATTTTTGTCTTTTTTATGCATGGCTTGAAGCAGTGAAATGGCAAAGCAATTAGGTGTACAACTTTAACTTATATTTTATAGCTTAAAAACGTTTTTCACCATTTTGAATTAAGAGTGAAAATTTATTTGGTAGATTGGACAAAATACTTTAAATCTGTAAGAGTCATCACATTACAGATTTTTTTTCATGTTGTTAAGTAACTTAATATACTGAGGGTCTAAATTTCTATGTGTTATAAGATTCTCAAACACAGCAGGAAATGCCATCAGTTTAAATTTAAAAGTTTATAAATAACAATTGACTTGTAGAAATAAATAATGAGATATACTGAACATTTGAAGATAATAGCTTTTATTAAAGTATACTATATAGATGAATTTTAATACCAACCAAGTTGTAGCTGGTTGTACTGTAACATCTTAAAACAACAACAAAATACAAGAATTTCTATAAATTAGATTTGATTTTTGATCAGTAGTTTCTCCAGACTAGTTTGTTTATGTATATTTCTGTACAGTAATAAAACATTTCTTTTTATAACTTGTTGTGTTCAAACTTGTTTATAGGACCATTCTTCTAAAACAGTTAAGGTGAAATTTATGTTAAAAGCAAATTTTCCTTTATTTTTAACAACTTGATCTGAGTCATTCGTCAAGATTTTATTATTTTCTTACAAGATTGACTTCTTATAAATCTGTTTGTTGAGTAAAAGTTGTGAAATATTCCAAAAATAGCACTTGCTTTTGAAGGTCACTAATTTTTTTGCTTCTGCTTAAAAAGCTTTATTTTTACCAGTTATGACAGCACCAACCTCAGCAGCAGATCTGGTCAGCTTGTTTGAATGTCCTGTCTGTTTTGAGTTTGTTCTGCCTCCTATTCTTCAGTGCCAAAATGGACATCTTGTGTGTTCAACTTGCCGGCAGAAAATCACTTGTTGCCCAACATGTAGGGCACCAATTGGTAATTTTAAGATTTATTATCTTGAGTTTCACAGTTGTGATATTGACTAACAAATAATAACATGCATTCTTTTTATTATATAAAAGCAAGTACAGCATATAAAAAAATGCATATGAATTATATGGAGTTATTGTGGGGCATTTAATTAGTTTCCTTTTAAGGTGTTCTGTTATTGGCATTCTTTTCTGAAGTCTCTCTCTCATTTTTACATGATGTTTTATAAATTTGTAGCATTTATGCTTAATATTAATTTCTGATTATTGTGGTTGAAGTAAACACAAGTATTTAATCCCAGAATTACAAGTGAGATCTGGATGGAGCTTACTGGCTTTTTAAGCATATTTTTCTAAATAAATTGTGCAACAATAATTTCTTAAGATTCTTCAGTTAAAAATAATTTAGTGTGTGATATAAGTAACCTTAGTCATGTTTTCTTGTGGTTTAATGTTACAATTTATTTTTTATTTGTGTCTTGTTATCCACATTTCTACATATTTTCCAATTTTTGTTTAAAAATATATGGTTCCATCTGTTAAAAAGATTGGTTAGAATATTCCACAGAGATGATTGGCTGAATATTTTATAAATGAATATTGACACTTCTTTCAACATGTAACATTTTAATCAGCTTGATTAGTTACTTGCCACAAGTGAAGTTTTTACATTCTTGAACTGTTATAATGCATTCTACTGAATAAACTGAAAAAGTGTAAAAATACCTAAGGTACTGAGTGGAATCTGGCATTATTTAAAGGATGAGTGGCAAATCAATTTCATTTTGTCACTTAAACTAATAATGCAACTCAAATAAGAAAGCATTTTACAAAATATCAGAAATGTTCACAGCAAATAAGTAAGATCTCTGGATTTTCTAATAAGACAGCACTATAAAGGTGCTTTGTGGTAATTACTCTTGACTACAACTGAAGAACAATGCTTGATGATGAATTATTCGTTTCTGTTTGGACTTTTGATTTAATCCTCTAATTAGTAGCCTACTTGTTATACCCAAAGTGTCAGGGCTTGAAGAAATATGAGAAAAACTGAAGCCATGGACATAATTGTGAAGGTAGATGAACATAGATCCAGTGGTTGTTTTGTATAACTTGGATGAAAATAAGAGTTGGTAATTGTAGAGCAAAAAAGTTCTGTTAAAAGTCAGATAGTATCACTGTACCACTTGGTGTTTTAACTGTGCTGCTTGCGAACACAATTGGAGAGCATTCAGTGATAGAAAAAAGAAAAACTGAAACCACCTCACAATGGATCAAACAGTTGAACTTGTTTCTGTGCCCCATAGTCTTTACGTCTTCTAAGATGAGGATGGGTACTGGCAACTGTGGGCATAAGCAGGATTGGAATCAATAGAAATTAGGACAAGAGAGAGATGGATAAGTGAGGATAAAGGATCAAAGTGGGGACAAAATGAAGATAGCTACTTAAAATGAAATTAGAAAATAAAAGTGGAGTGATTTTTTGATAGTGACTGTTAGTAATTTAAGCCGTTATTTTTGTTACGGTTGTTTAGAAGTACTAAAATGTGAAATTAAAAAAAAACTAAAGTGCTCTTGAAAAATAAACTACTATTATAGTTATGTCCATACCTTGTAATTTAAACAAAGTTTGTCAATAAAGATGTTACCAGCACTAAATAAGTACAGTATAATTGCGACATTAAGGGCACCATTCCGACTGCATCCAAATTCCCTCTATAGCATGGTGCCCTTAATATCCAAAATTAGCCACACAAAGCTGGGTTCCATATTGACCGTGCTAAATTTCTGAATTTGAAGGCCCCATTTTGTTTGGTGTATGGGGGACACAGATGTTCATGAGTTGCACGTTGCCATGACATGATGTGTTGTCAACAGGAGGTCTCAGGGGATGGATTAGTTGAGCCCTATTGTTTATTTATCACTAATGTTTTTGTTACATGTTTAATAATCGAACTTTGAAAATAAAAAACTGTAGAATATTTTCCACACAACACTTTTCTGAAAAGTTGACATCTAATAATCTCACATTTTTATTTTTTATCACCAGTATTTTGAATGACAGTATTTTATATTTAATGTGTTTCAAGAAATGTGTCCAACAGAATTATTTTGTTTAATTAAAGGTAATATCAGGAATTTGGCTATGGAAAAGGTGGCCAGTACAGTTATGTTCCCTTGCAAATATTTTGCTTCTGGATGCAATGCTCAACTGTTACATACAGATAAACAGGACCATGAAGAAATATGTGAATTTAGGCAAGTAAATTTGTGCTTATTCTTTATTTCATTTATTTCATTCAACCTAGAGTATACTTTTTAATACATTACTGAAATTCTTAACTTTTTCATACATGATTGAATAAAATGAATAAATTATATTCTTGAAAGGAATGTTTTATTACTATAACTAGTAGTATATTGAAAAATCTGGAATCATCTAGTACTGTCATGAAAGATCTTATATCATATGGTGCCATTGTGCAAAAACAGCTTAATTTTTAATTAAGTATTAAGATTTTTTGATTAAAGATTTTCTCTTGAAGTTTTACTTTTAGAATGTTGACTAACTAACATGAAAAATAATTTTGATTTGAATATTAAAAAATACTTTTCTTCATCTGAAAATTGTCAAATGTCATTTGTGTAATCTCTATAAACTCCTAAATAACTATTAAACTTTTTTTTAGAAAAATTTGTTTTTAATCTGCTATTTCTCTACCTTAACTCTATACGGGGTTGGTTGATTTCACTGACCTCGTCACCACCTTAATAAATTAGGAAAGAAATCTAAATTACCCTTTTTTCATTGTAGAAAGACTGCAAATTCTAAGAGAACACCACAAATGTTTATTCTAAATAACTTAAATCTTGTAACAGTATGCATCTGTTTATATTTATTAATTGCTTGTTGTATTGACCTTTGAACTGTCTCTGATTAATAATTTTTTGTAGGTTTTTATATATATATGCATTTTGAAATAACATAAAATTATAAGTTATTCTACCAGTACCACAAAATTCCACTGTAATTTATGAGGCTTCCTAACTAAGCTGTGCTTGGATCTAAAAAATCTCATTTCCAATCATCATATTTCCTTGATCACCACTCTTCAAACTTGCAGTGGAAATTATGACTTTACCTGTGTAAGTACTTTAGGAAGACTGGCAGAATTACGTATTTCAAAATGAGTGCTTCTGATTGGTTATAAACATGTAATTGAGAGTAGTGGGCATAGGTAAACGAGTATTTCCAAGAGAGGGAGAGGTGGGTGGAGCTACTGTGGTGGATTCACTAAGTATAATGATATCTCTGCAAATAGAAAAGGTTGGAGATTTCTATTTTATATTTTAACTTGTCAATATTGTTATTTTGATTTTTTAATTTGTAAGAAACTATAGACGCTGTATTGTGCATGTCATAAAATGTAATCTGAACAAAAGTAGAAGGCGATGTACCATATGACACACAATAATCGATATCTAGCGATTTTTTAAATATTTACTTTTAAATTAAGCAATTAAATAATGTATAATTCTAAAATTTTAATTATAAACTACCAAATTTATTGATATACATTCATAAAATAGTGGTTTAATAAAATTCTGAATGCAAGTCTACAAATGTGATGACATGACCTCTGACCCCTATTTGTGGGGAAAGGGTTAAACAATTTTAACACTATGTTCTACATTTTAGTACTCTTCAGTGTGAATTCCATTTACTGATCCCTTTTTTTTGCAGGGAAATTTTTAGTTTCAGAATTATTTGTTGATTCATATTGGTTTATTTACTTATTAGTATATACAGTGCTACCCACTGTATATACCCAAAGGTTGGCATCCCACCTTTGTCAAGTTCATTATAAATTCCAATTCCAGCTTCTTGATTCTCTTTACTTTAGCAAAAAGTGCCTCATTGTCTTGATGTTAACTTAGATGAATAACAGTTGACATCAACAGAAAATTCTGGTCCCAACACCTCAAAATTCATTATTTTCTTTATGTTCACAATCTGCATAAAGGGCACTTCCAAATATAATTTTAAGCCATAGCAATGGAAACGTGCGATCCATGTGTTTCATTGTCTTACATATCCCCTATTAATTTTTTAAATACAGGGTTGGTTAAAATTACTGACCTTTTAATCACCAAAGTTTACACACTTGAACTTTTAATGTCGTAAGAGTATCTTCATGAAACGTGGTAAGCTATTATTAAAGATTTCAAATAATTTTCACACAAAAAATCAGATTTTTTGCTTTCAATATTTTTTATTAAAGATTTGTCTGTGAATTAATGCAGTCATGGCCTGACTGGATCTCTAACTAAGGTATAAGTGCCTTAAGATAATTCCCTCAGGTGGTTGATGTGAACTCAACGGTGAATAACTCCAATCTGAGAGCAAGGTAGGTGAAACATTTCTGTGTATGAAGAACAGTACATAAATAAATATTCGAAAGTCAATGAATAAAATATTATATAAAATTCTAAGTGTATCAAAATTAGAACTGGTTAAACAATGTTCATCTTTGTGGTGTTAGTATGGGGAACCCAGGAAGATAGGGGGAGAATAATAGATTTGTTTTGTTCCATGTGACTTGCCCCCATCTTGAAATGACAATGTCAACAAGCTTTACATGGGCCCAACAGCATCGAAGTAAAAGGGTAGCACTGTAATGAGGATCAAGGAATTTTCAAAGTGTATGATTAACTAGGAAGTCTAAACACACTTTTTTTTAATAGTTGCAGTGTGTGTGGTTTTTGTTTAATGGTGGTGGCATGAACAAGGTAACTACTTTTTATTGACTGCTATATATATGTTAAGGTTATATAATTGATTATATATAATTGTCTTGACAGATATAGAGGGATGTGAGGAGCTTTTCTGGTGGGTTTGAAAAATGTATTTATATCTTATCAAATCAAGAAGGTAGAAGTTCAGATTTTACCTTTTTGATTGTTATTATGTGGATTTTGTGTTTCTAATTGGTTAGACACTATAGAAGCTGCACTATTGAAGTTATAAAATCTAAAGGGGAGAATTCCGAGCTCAGATTTGCCACAGCACAGAAGAATGAAAATTGAGAATTTTTAAAAATATGTATGTTGAAATTAAGAAATTAAAACTTAAATAACATACAGAGTTTAATTATAAACTACATTTTGATGCTAAAGTTATTGACATATATTGATGATAAAGTTGTTAAAATTTTTAATGTAACCCTAAGAAATGCACTTTGACCATGCTGAAAGTTTGTAATATGTAGTGCTGGATGTACACATATCTCATTAAGTATTAGCTTCATGCACAGGTGGTTATATGTGTAAAGTATTTCATTAATTGTTGACTATGTATATTTACAAATTAAATAAACATGAAACAAAGGGTACATGATTGCCATTACTGTTTAGTGGATCTATTTCTAGTATTTAAGGCAGAGACATGGTAACTTATTCTATTTACGTGATTTGAAATTTGTATTTGTGGGATTGCACCCCCACCTCTTGCAAAGAACTTTGACAAAGGTTTTCCTAGAAATTGGTTTGGGGGAATAAATAAGAATGGACAACATTTGCTAGCTGAAAGAACAGGAACCTCATCTTGTATCAAAATAGTCCCTTATCTGGTAAGTTGGTCATTGGTATAGACAGGTAGATGGCCTTGCTCAAGAATTTTGATGTATTGGTCAGCACATTCTTGCTTGTAATTATGGCTAGTTGCTAACCCTAGGTGCATTCACTGTCTGAAAATTATGAAAATATAGACTTGTTGGAAAGCTTTACAGCATCCTGAAAACAAGAGGATGTGATAGTGTCTGTTATGCCCACTGCTGTTAACATGTGCTATTGTCTGCAGTGACGATTGGCTTCTATTTTGTTACTCTGCCATTATAGCCCATGCTGTGAAGACAACTTCTGATAGTATTGTAGTACACTTACACCTATCCTGCAGTAAGAGTGTTTGAACTGTTCTGCTACAGTAGCAGTTCCTTGACATGAGTTGTTATTCTTCATGCTTCTCATCACGACATGAAGAATCCAATCTGATGGTTTGGGGTACTCAAACCATGCAGAACTGTTGTTTTCCGACTTGACTAGAACTACATTGTCATTCTAGTCATTGTAAACAGTGGTAATACAAGTGACCTGGTGATTTTTAGCTGATTTTAACTACTCTCCCATTATCTAACTATGTGAGTTTTTAAAAATTTGGTTAATTCCTGGGGTTGCTTTGTCTATGGTGTGATTGTTTGTATTCTCTGGTCTTTAATGGACTACATTTATAGCTGTATGATGGAGTTACTTACATATGCTATCAATGAGATGGTCAGTTTGTGATCTTTACAGTTGCGTTTTTATATATATATATATATAATGTGAACATCAGCATTATTTAAGCAGTTAATTTAATATTTATATCACAAAGGAAAAAATGCATTACAAACAGCAAGACCAAACTTATGATGAAATTAAAACATATTTATAATATAAAACAAGCCAAAAACAAAAACACTGCACAACTGGAATGGCAAACTTAGGAGGTAAGGTTTTCTTACCGCTTCAGTGTAGGTTTTTTTCATTTATCTGAGAGCAGTCACCTTCCAACAATTGTCTGCAGGCTCTGAAGGATGTTTCAGATGTGGGACGTTGTGGGCTTGAGCACCCACATCTTGCTCTCTTTTTTTTCTTATTTTACTCCCTTATTATTATTTCTTCTTTACATATGAAGCTTCACGAATAGAGGTTAAGACTGATGGATGGTGTATCCCCACTGCCATGTGGGGCATAATTCTGCAGTTACCTCCAAAACCCGTGACACATCTTATACCACAAATTATGGCCTATGCTCTGGTGACTTTAACTTTGTTTAGTTGCAATTTTGTTTAAGGCTTGTTTTATGTTATGAATATGTTACACACATATATATATATATATATATACATAGACACACATAGGGTGTTCTAGTAGTTGCACTTGAAGGATACTTAACTTCTGGTGGTATGTATATATATATAATTTACGTGATGTACATGTTTGCACAACATATTGTTAGGTTTATTGTTCATGAATTTGTCTAGACTATGGAAAGCTCCATTGTACTGAAATTTCAGTGAAGAATTTTTTTTTCAGTCAATTTTATGGATTTTTCTATAATGAAAAGTTGAACTAGACAATTTTGAAAAATAATGATGGGTTGAGGCATTATCAGGATCTCCAGAATCAAAATTTACATACTTAAATGTAGTTCTGTTCTCTTTAGGAGGTGCTATAGGTGTTATTATTGATACCAATTACTTGTCATGTTCTCTTTAAGACCGTATTCTTGTCCTTGTCCTGGAGCATCATGTAAGTGGCAAGGGTCTCTTGAACAAGTAATGACTCATCTCTTAGCAGTCCACAAATCTATTACCACTTTAAAAGGTTTGTGTTAAATCTTTTCTGTTATGTTGGCATAGTGTTAAAATTATATTTTTATAATGTGTGTAGATAAGAACTTGGGCCTTCTTTACATTGTTTGAATTTAAAATACAAGGTTTTAATTGATGTGTTAAGTAGAACATTGTTAAAGTCTGCTACATATTACATAAAATAATAAAAGATTAAAGAACTAAGTGCTCAGAATACAACAGTGTTATTAGACTGTTCACTTGCCACAAAATGAATATTGTAATAAACAGGTGGTTTATATCATTAATATTTTATTATCATATTGTTAATGTTCTGTTTACAGAAATACCAAAATCGGTCATGTTTTGTTTTTTCTGGCAAAAGATTAGTGTACAATATAGTATTTGTCTGATTCAGATGAAATTATGAACTCCAAAATATATATGACATTGCTTTTACTTTGTATTATTTGTACAAAATGTCATGGTAAGGAAGGATTAAGTGATAAGATTTAACACAGAGTGAGAATACGAGATGGAATAGTAACATTGTTGATTAATATTTTAATTTACTGAAATATTTTAAAATGTCATATTAAACCCTGTTGTTTTGAAGAAAATTCATAAAGTATGTTTTTATACATATATGTTAACATGATTGTTTGTTTGTTAGTATAGTAGCTTTGGTTTTTCTCCCTCCTGTTTGGTGAAACTTTTTCAACATAACCTTTTGTAGGTATGGAATCTTATGGTTTAGGAGAAATTTGCCTCAGTGAATGTATTATTTTATAATTATACAACATGCTATATGCTGGTTAAAACATTTTGAATTGCATGTAGCAAATTCATTTCTAAATACTCTGTCCAAGGCAATAAATTGACTTTTATTCTTAGACAAATAAAAAGTATACCTGGTAATCTGTATAGTATTATTGACACTTATTATGTGAGGTTGCATTCTTGGATTTTTCCATGAATTGACAATTTTTGTCCCCATTTCATATTGTATTTTTATTCTCTTTCTATTTCAGGTTGGTAATTTGTTTCTGGCTGCTACAGCCCTTGATTGGCTTTTTTCTAAAAAAATTAATGTAAATAAATTGCAGCTGTTGTTTGAAACTTTTTGTTCCAAATAAATAGATTATTTTTGTGGATGTTACAGTCATGAATTGACATTTCCCATCTCAAGTCAGTAAATTACATTTATGGCTATTACAACCTTATAATTACATTTTCTGTTCCAGTTTATTGTAGGCCTGGTGGTTAGGGTGCTTGATTCTCAATCTGCTAGTTGCTGTATTAAAACCCGATGCTAAACATGCTCACCATTTCGGCCATAGGGGTGTTATAATGTGACAGACAATTCTGATAGTTATTGGTTAACAGTTGGGTGTGGCTGCTGCTGATTGGTTGCCTTCCCTCTGGTCAGCCTTAGTAGCTTTGCAATAAATAAACTAACCATTTTTTGGCTAATGTCACGAAATGCTACTTTTTATCTTAGGTGAAGATATTGTGTTCCTGGCTACTGATATAAACTTGCCTGGTGCTGTTGACTGGGTGATGATGCAATCTTGCTTTGGTCATCACTTCATGTTGGTCCTTGAAAAACAAGAGAAATATGATGGCCATCAACAATTCTTTGCAATTGTTCAACTGATTGGTACCAGAAAACAAGCAGAAAATTTTATCTATAGGTAATATTTTTCATATTTTGCAACTGATAGAAAAAACAAAGACATTGGCAGAAAATGCTGTCTACACGTGAAGTTTTTAACTTTTTTTGTACTGATCGAAGCAATTGAAACTATGAAAAAAAGTCATAACTTTCATTTACAAGATTATTACAAGATTTTTTGAACACAGTTCAACTTACAGAAAGTAGGGAATGGTTAGAAAGGTTTTTACTGCTAACTTTTAATTTTATTCAATGGGTAAAGAGAAAGAAGATTATATTTCTGTCAGTGACTGTGATTGTCAGAAAAGCTAAACAGTTATAAAACATCATTTGTTATTGGTTGACTTAAACACCAAGAATATAGAAACATGAGTTGGAAATAGTTTTTAACAATTATAATTTTACTTGTAAATAAGGTTCATCAAGATGCAGTTCAAGGTAAGAGATCACAATGTAAAGGATAATACAAATTGCAAAAAAACTCCTAGCTGTAAAATGATTTATTCTAGTTAATTATAATAGAAGTAGGCACCTTAAAAGAACAAAATTATACAATTTTTATCATCTTTTAAAGAACTTGAAATCACAAAATGATAAGGAAAAAAGATTGTATTATAATTGAAGAGGGTAATTAACCTTCTTTTATTTTTTAACTTAATTTCTTGGTCTTTATAGAGAATGTCTTCAACACAAGAACTTATTGCGTGATTACCTTGAAACAACTTAAGATTTTTTTTCTTGTTAAGCATTAGATTTGTAATAAATTTGTAATAATCAGTTGTTAAAGTGTAAAATATTTTGCATTCAAAGGCATTTTACATTTAGAGCTGCACTATAACTGGAGTAAACAGGGCAGATTCCTTGGGACCTGCAATTTTAGGGCTGCCCCAGTTTTATTTTCTTATATGGGACAGTGAAATTCTTTTTTTTAATGGCCCAACTTAGCTAGTGTTGGCACTGTTTATTTTCTTACTGAATAAACACTTTCATATGTGTAATTTCATTTTATATCAATAATAAATGTTACATATAATTTACTTCCTCATATAGATACCGGTTTTCTAAATTTTGACTTGATGTTTTATTGATTTGTTGTACATTTTGTCAATTTGAGTATTTTACTTTCATTGTGCTCCTCTGAAAGGACTACATACATGGAACTGAAACAACAGTAAGGACAGTAAGGAAAATTTAAACAGAGTTGTTGACATACTTGTATTATTGTGATTGAAACAAACTATGAATTTCAGGTTGGAACTAAGTGGTCATAGGAGAAGGTTAACATGGGAGGCAACTCCAAGAAGTATTCATGATGGGGTCCAGTCAGCCATCATGAATAGTGATTGTTTGGTTTTTGACACTAGCATAGCCAAACTCTTTGCTGATAATGGCAACTTGGGAATCAACGTCACTATCAACCTGTGCTGAATCGTTTATAGTGTTTACTGTACATTCAAGACAGTCATGTAACATCACTTAATGTTCCAGTACAACCCAGGGTTCAAGATCTCTGGCTGTGTTTGTATATTCAGTATGCAACACTGCTGTTCTCGTGCAGTTTATTGTGATACCAGGAGTAGTACTATAAGTTACAGTTATTCTCCAAGAAGGCAAGCAAATTCCCCAGGATTTGTTCTTGAGGTAGTGTGAAGTGGATATAGTTTCTTGAACGAAAGCTAATCAAAATTTATTACAAGTATGAAAAAATTGACTATTTTTGGTTTTGTATGTGATAGTTTAACTAGCCCAAATTTGCATATTCATGTACCTATTGTATTATATAAGAGACTGCATTAAGTGTAAAGTACATAACCAACCTTACAGAAATTTTGTTGGATATTTTATATGGTTCTGTTTGGTAGTTCTATTTAATAAACATAAGTGCTTTAAACATTTTACCAGCATTTAATGTAATGAACTACACATTTTAATTCTCTCTTATTTTAAATTAGTAAAGTTTTGTTTGTTTTTGTGTTTATAGCTCTTCATTATTATTTCATACTGATAAAAAAAAGACTGAAACACTATGCAAAATAGACCTAAAATTCGTGAAATCATGCAGTCAGGCACAATAAAAACAAGGATAGATTGTATGAGTTCGATAAGGAAAATATGTCGACCAGCACTGAAAGGAAAGGACTTTTGAATTGAAGCAGTCAGACCTAGGGGCTTGTCTCTGTATGCCTTGCCTATTATCATATATATAACATTGTTAGAGGAAGAAGTTACAAGATGCATTCTTTCCACTGTTATTGAAACTTTTTAAAGTCGTCGTCGTAAGTATTTGAAGATAAACTAGCTTGTAAAAATATTCTAAATCATACGTTATCCAAATTGAGTATTTTTACACCTGACCTCTTGCTGTTAGGGTTTTTAGAAAGGGTTGGTGTTCTCTTACACTTCCCAACATGATTTTATGTGTTGGGGTTTGTATATATATGTGTCTGTAGATATACACACAACTTTCAATAAATTCTTCAGTGATGATAAAGGTAAGATTATCCTAAGAAAGGGGTGTGACAATTTTTTTTTCACTTTTGGATTGTTCATTTGGCCAATCTATTAAAGTACTGTGAATTCTATATTGTAAATAATATACAAGGTATAATGTTAATTTCAGGGTCTTGGAACCAGGTTTCAAAGACCTTTACATATCTAATAAATTCAAATACTTTATAATCACATCATTTTATTGTTTATTTGTCTCTATATTATTATTATCCAACTGTATTATGTTACTGACAGTGTATTGCATTATTAATGTGTAACATTAAAATGTTTTAACAGTTAGTGGAATGCGGCATCTATCTCACGTACGTTATAGTTTATTGTTTTTCATTACTTGTTTTTAAGGGTTTCAAAATGCGTACTACAAGCAAGTAACATGGGCAAAAACTGCTCGTATCTTTGAAAAATTCCGCAATGTACAACTCAAAAATATTCTATATGAAATAAAACTTTTCTTTTTTTTGCCACGTTAATATTTAAACCTGTGCATCCACGGGCTGACTTAGTTTAATGCTAATTAATATGGGGATGGTAAAAAAAGGGGTATACAGTTTTTTTTGTTTTTTTTACTCGATAGAAATAAAAAAACACCGACGTGTATTAGTAAAATACAATTCAATCAATATATTTCCTCGATGACTTTATAGATGGCGGTAGTTTTATGTAGAGCATTGATATTGCAGACAGTTCATTTTTGTGTTCTATGTATTGTTATATCATAAACAATTAATATATGTTATGTAAAAATTATAGAAAGTATAATCAAACAGCCTTATCGTTAGTTCTTTGGCCTGGTTTTTTAATTGTCAAAAAAATAAAGACAATACTTTATTATTATTTTGTTGGGTCAGGTGTTACGTAGTAGTTAGAGTACCGGACTTTGAAACCAGGGTTCATGGTGTACATCCCATTACCTCAGAATCGCGCTCCGCACTTTGGGGCGGTGGGCAAGTTAACGAATGTCAGTCAAATCCCACTATTTGATTATAATAGCCAAAGAGTTGCGGTGTGTGCTGTTCTTTTAGTCTATCAGTTCAAAGGAAGGAACGGCTGTGTGCAGATAGCCGTTGTGTAGCTTAGTACTAAGCCTTGTAGGGACTTCGGTAAATTTACGGACTTACAATGCTAAGATCTGGGATTTAATTTCTTAATGTAGACAGAGTGCAGACAGCCCGTTGTGAAGTTTTGTACCAAGAACAAACAAAACTTATGGTTTAGAAATTTCATTTTATCCAAAGTATCTATTAATGTATTTTTTACTGGTATATAATATATATTTTTTAAAAGCAAAATTCCAGTAATTAAAATATTGATTAAGCAGTAACGTTTATCCTATTCCCATACTGTTAAGTTGAAAAACTTACTTTGTTTTTCTTGGTATTAAGTAGCAGTGCAGTGACGAGGTTCGAGCACGTGCATTCATATAGTGTGGTTAAAACTGTTACAATTCTGTTTTTACTTGGTGGAAATTTCTACTAAATGTTCATGTACTTCAATGATATAAATTTTACTTAACTCCTTTTTTACTCTTTTTACAACCCTCATGATTTCCACCCAAACTCTCACTTGAACTGAAAGAGATCTAAAAGTAACATCTGCCCACCCTTATCTTTTGTATCACTCACAAATAGTTTCTGGAAGAGGAACAAGCAAGAAAATGGAACTGAAGTTTTTAAGTATGCTCTAAGATTAGTAACATGTTTTACCTTTCTTAGAGGTAAATGTACCGTGTAGGTTGGTTTTTGTTAATGTTATTTCAGTACTGTTGAAAGAAGATAGTTTCTGCAAACCCCCTCCCAATCATACCACCACTGAAACATCTGAAGTAATTCACGTGCTAGATCAACAAATTACGAAGTGTCACCATGGTGACCACAGACCTGTAATATTCGCCCATAATACCTTTTACTTTGTACTATCCTTTTCGTCTGGGTTTGCACTTTCCATGCCCTTTAAAAACCCTCATTACATCAGTGTTTACGTTCTTTGTCACACCCGAAACTCTCCGTTACTTGAGTATGTACAGCCTTCACAAAATCTTTAAAACTTTTCCAAGTAAAGTACCTATCAAAATATAATTTAACAAAAAGGTGTTTCATCTGTCTCAATCCAGTGATTTTCTATAATTTTACAGATACAGCAGTTTTTAAAAATATAAAATTGGATTTATGTTGGAACTTGGTACCATGGTTTAAAAAGTTGTATACCGGTTCCATTAAGTACTTGGAAGTGTATGGGATAAAAATCTTAGTTAAGTGCTACTTTATTATGAAATCAGTGTGACATAAAAACACGACACGTTACTGGATGATGTAATATTTATATAAAGAACCTCAATGAACAGTGACCAATAACTAATTTCACCTATCCTTATAAATCATAGGTCTTATAGGTGCCTTCCAAGGTCAAATTTGTTATTTTGTTACTCCTCAATACTTTAATTGGAAGCAGAGAAAGTGTTAAGAGTTCTTGTTGGTTGGCGAGAATATACTTCACGAGTTATCTAAGACCTTGAAGTATTCTTGGAATTAATAAAGGTTAAAAGTTAATATGCACGAAAGTAATATTACACAAGTTACGACCTCTAGAATTATTGCACTCTCACACTTGGCTGTCAGGCGCTACAAGATAATCATCGAACTTACAATAAGCTTTTCTTCTGATGATGATGCATTATTGCCAATTTCATTAAACGGTCTAAGACGTTATTGAAGACTAGGATTACGTTTTCGATGACTGGGGTGATATTTTAACTATCGTGGCTTAGTAAATACATTTCTGAGTCACATCCTAGACTTGTTCTGTCGATTTCAAAGCAAGGGCTTTATGCTATGACCAGTAACTTGACCTAATCGTGGAAGTTGATACAGTATGTAACTATGGGATCAAGATTCTGCACAGTAGATAAATCTTATTTGAAGTTCTTCAATGTCATAATAAAGTAAAAACAATTTCTTTATTTTTTGCTCATTTATTCTCATTACGTTGTTAACTTTCTTTTTTGTGCACTGCACTACACTTTCTGCCCTCCCCCTTTTTTATTGAGTATTGTCAACTTATCATGAACTAACGAACCAACTAAATATCGCCATTATAAACTTAGAAACACGGAATAGTAGCCGATATAAAAAAAAAGCACTGGAAGTATCGTTTTTAGTTTTTATAGAAGCTGACATAGTTTTTTTTAGTATAGTGAAATTGGGTATCATCTATACAGCTTAATTAGGTAGAAACGTGAATATGGAAACCACATCAAAATGTTTACTTAACATCTTGTTCCTTATATCCAAAAAGAACTATTGTATGCGGAGAAAGATTGAATTGCTAATAAAAATGAAAGCCGGACAGAAACATCACCATTTGGTCACTTTAGTCAGTTGAAGCTTTTAAGGAGTTAGGCGTATCAGTATCAAAATGAAAGTTCGTCATTTTCAATCATTTTATATGCTATTGATTACAAAAGGCTTGTTACTTCAGGCACTAACGATTACAGGGTGCTGTCTCAAACATAGTGGCTGGATGTGTGAACACAGGAATAAAATTCATAATCAGAGTTTATAGTAAATGTCAAACATTGCTTATTTGTTTATTTTCGCAGCTATAGCGTTAAAGTTACAAATACGACAAGTTTTGTTTTTGCTGAAATTATATATATATATATGTGTGTGTGTGTGCAAATGTTTAATAAGCTAAACATTACAGACTATATATATTGTGACTTTTGTTTGTTTGTTTTTGAAATAATAACATATACTTATCCTCGTGAATTTATCTACAGAAATATAAAAATACTTTAAACATGTGAACCGTACATTTTTAATTGAAATAAAAAGTTATTCGTAACTTTGATCGAAATTTGAAGTTAGTGTACTTATTTTTAAATGTTGAAAGCGTTCGATATTCTTATAGCCAGGCCAGGTGGTTAGGGCGATCGACTCGCAATCTGCGGGTTCGAATCCCCGTCACACCAAACATGCTCGCCCTTTCAGTCGTGGGGGCGTTATAATGTGACGGTCAATTCCACTATTCGTTGGTAAAAGAGCAACCCAAGAGTTGGCGGTGGATGGTGATGACTAGCTGCCTTCCCTCTAGTCTCACACTGCTAAATAAGGGATGGCTAGCGCAGATAAACCTTGTGTAGCTTTGCGCGAAATTCAAAACAAACCAAGTTATTTTGGCTAGGTGGTGTTTCATTTTGAGGAAACGCTGTTGTTTGCAGATGAACAAACGGAATGAAAATAACAGAGACTAAGTTTTTCATCAATGGACCATGAGTGGCTTAATGGTTGGCGTCCAAATTGGACCCATGGGTCCATTTAAAGAGTGACAGTCAAATCCCATTATTTGGTGAGATGAGCGTAGCCCAAGAGTTTGTGATGGATGCTGTTAACCAGTTGTCTTCCTTCTAGTCTGAAAGTTCATAATTAGGGACGGCTAGCGCAGTTAGCTGTCCTCCGGTGGGACAGCGGTAAGTATGTGATTCCCCTCAGTGGACACAGCAGATAGCCCGTTGTTATTTTGTTATAACAAAAACACGCGCAGTTAGTCCTGGTAAATAAACAAAACTAACAAAAACAAAAAATCTCTTAACAGTGGTACTTTCAGCCAAATATAAAATTGTTTGGCAATTGTCTATAACTGTGTGAAATTTCTCAAAGTCTAACCCGATGATGAAAGATTTCGTGGCTTTTAGGCTAAAAGTATACTATGCATCACACGAAAGTAACATTTCATTACAATGCAAATAAATAACCGTAAATACAAAATACACATAACCATTTTGTAGCCTAAACAATTCAAATTTCACCATGTGTGAAGTATTTCATTTAATCACGTCCTTCTAACCTTGTTTATATTGAAAAGCTTAAGTAAATAGTTGGATCCCGTCTGGGTTGTGGGTACCTCTCATTGGTCTCTCTGTTTATATTATCCGCGTAAATCAAAATAGTTGTAAGAATGAGACTGAAAACATTTAAACATCTTATTTTAAGATTTTAGTATATAAGCTGACGAAGCACGAGGAGCTGATTAACGATAATTCGTAAGTGCATACCGCGTGGGGGCTCATGCACGAACGTAAGTGGCAAAAATAAATTAGAAAAACCTATAGAAGTTTGCCAAAGTTCCAAGAAAACAAGAACAAACTTGTTATGCATTTCAACACTCAAGAATTTAAGGCATATTTATATTTAAGAGGGACATAGGCACGCTGTTTGAAATGTACTGTTAAATACGCTAGGGCTTTTTTTTTAACACTTCAGAGTAAAAGATGAATAATGACTAAAAGATGCCGAAAGTTGTTCTTTGATTAAATAATCAGACTGTGTGAAATAGAGGCGGTATATTACTAACAAGGTCTAAGTTCTTTTCATGAAGTATTTAACGTACACCAGTAAATTCAGAGTTTTTATGGTTTGTTTAAGCACGGAAGAAGAAATATTGATGTGTCTTAAAAGAGGATTCAGAGTAACAGTCAAACTTTTTCCAGTTTTCCCAATCAGGTGAGAAGCTACGTCTCCAAAATACAAGCATATTCGCGTTAAGGTCAGGTGAAGGTATACTTTCCATTCTATATATATAATAGCCAAATATCTGTCTGTTACACTCTAGACCCCCAGTAGCACAGCGGTATGTCTGCGGACTTATAACGCTAGAAACCTGGTTTCGATACCCGTGGTGGGCAGAGCACAGATAGCCCAGTGTGTAGCTTTGTGCATAATTACGTTACACTCTATATTTCCTGTCGTGGAAGAAAAAATTATATATCAAAATTCTTCTTTTCAAGAATACATTACAATAAAATAATTCATTTTTTGCAATTCCTAAAATTTCATATCAACATCGATCTGTCAGTCTTCGTATGTGCTGAATGGTAAATCTGATAAAAAACTTAAGAACAAAAATGTTTCTCTTTGTGAGGTAATTTTAGGAAAATAACGTACTTCCTCCGTCGACAGATTAAAAGAAATATTTCAAAGATAGGAGCATGAAAGAAAAAAAAACACATGAAAGAAACGTGTTTGAGTATGTATTTGTTGTTGTTCGGTTTATATATGTGTATATATATATATATATATATATTCTTGTTGGTATTGTTTACATGCATGATTTTTATTGTACCACGTCCAATAAATTGATTTGACTGGAACTGAATATCCCCCATTTGACACTTATAGAAATGATAACTGTCAAAAAACGGTATTTTTTTGCACTCAGTAAAGTGACAAGGAACGGTAACACTTAGCAGAAAAAATCTCCGCGGCTACTTCGCGAACCTGAGCACTTTATTGTGCTGAATGCACCTATTGCAACGAAACCAAAATATTTTTGTCAATAATGTATTGCAGTTAGTCTCCTTTGTTTAAAACCAAATGCAATGCAGTTTTCTGTATTGAAATAACACATGGAATGACATAAATGGTTGTAAACGGCTCACTAGACAATCATATTGCATATACGCTGTGATCCAAGGGATTGAGTTAAGTGCACATTTTATATTTACTCATCACTATCTTCAGGAAAATTACCGTTAAATTGTTTCAACGAGCATCTGCTAGTTACAGATATTCACATCGTACACACATATGATGATATAATACATAAAGAACCTTTGTGTACTATTATAAAGACGTAAGGCGTGATTTTATATACAAGATAATGGTTTACAACATCAATCAATAACAAGTATTTGCATAGGAAATAACCACACATAATAATGAATAACAAGCATGTGCTTACGTACTGTGCAGGCATGCTAAACCTGGTGTTTATTTTCCTTTTTAGTTTACACAGGTGAAAAGTGCTTGTTCGATACTTTTTTGTTGTTGTTAATTACGCATGTGCGTATAGGTTTAAGAATAGAGTGTTGATTATGAAAAATTATCAAATTGTGTCAAGTTACATATTGTTCTGAATCATTTTGCTTTGGCATTAAATGCGCTTTTCGGTGGGAACAATTATTGTAGTATACATTGGTTGGAATGCATTGTGTAGGTGTAAGAAGTGATCTTAATAATTGACAAGCCTTGTAATATATTAGATATATGTTTTACTTTTAGGATAACCAACAGTGACGTGGTTAACACATGCGCTCTGAGAGAGATGATCCCGTTAGTTTCCATATAGTGGTTATCACTCTTAGTCTTGTTCCAGAATCCCTTCTTAATTTAAAATATCTATCCACAATGACAGAAAAGTTCTGCTAGCTGTCAAATGTGTTCGTCAACCTTCGATTGGTTTTAATTTTAATAAAGATTAATTTGCATTTTGTTTACATTGTGTTCAATCTCTTCTTTCTTTCAACTCTCGAGTTCTGAGGCTCAGATTGGCTTCGTAATTAATTTTCTGTCGAACCTCCTGTTATTTGTGGATTAAAACACTTTAGTGAACGGGAAATCAGTGAAGCAGGGATTAGCATAACTTTTTCCACTCTCGCATAGACAATCACACGTAATAATAATGAATAACAGACGATAATCAAGTAAGAACAATGAAGAATATGTTTGTATTTACAGAGAAAATAATTATACGGCGCAACAATTAACAGTAATTGTGTGTGCGTATGGAGAATATTTATATATAATAACTATGAAAAACATGTTTTTGCATTTTGTGTTCAGCTTCTTCCTTCTTTCAACTCAAATTTGCTCTGTAATTCATTGACCCATGTTTGTGGTTTATCACACTGAAGATTTTGGCATTTCGTTAAATGAAAAAAAAATTGTGTTTCGTAGAGAACAGCTGCACTCAACAACAACAATGAAATCGAGTATGTGTTTACAAACGCGGTGATAGGTTTTGTAGCCAAATAATAATTCTATTTGTTATGTTTCACAAGCTGGCGAAACAATAATAATTTGTACTGATCACTAAGACTGATAAAGGAAATGGAGTGGCCATGCTTAATAAAGTTTATTATATAAACCAAGTTTAATAAGTTCTAAGAAATCAAACTAAATT